TTTTTACTTTAACAATTTATACATAGTTCAGAAAAAGAATGTGCAAAACATAACCAAGTACCTTGCACAGACTCTTGCAAGTATTCTGTCACAAAAAGCAGCCAAATGCTACTACACTAGCAGTTCATGGTTAATTTTTAAACACCCAGGGGTGTATTTTCTGTATGCCTGTTACCTGTTGGTCTTTGTGAATTCAATTCTGAAAGTTCAGAGAAATAAGGAACTATTGCATAGCCTATAAAGTTGTATGTAGATCATGAAAATTTTTGCTGATCAGCTTTTTTTCATGACATACACTAAATCTCAAATGTAGGTGACCAGAAACATCTATTACAAGGTTTAATAAATTACACAGCCACATGACATTTATTTTTTTTTTGCATAGACTACTTCTGAAAGCTTTAGGCCAAATCTGAACACGAAGATGGTTTCAAACCTGTTCTACAATAACTCTGCAGCCCTTCAACAGCCCATTTACTTACCTACTCGGCCATAGCACCCAGAAGGAAGTGCAATTTGAATGTCTGTTTTCACTACAGCTTTTTCCATGGGTGGTATCACACAGTCATAGGCACTATGTTAAAGAAAAAAACACTAGATGATACAGAATATTTTGAAAACGTTCTTCTCTGTAACATAAGGTACAAAATTATTGCCTAGTTATTCTTGCTGGCAATTTTTTATACAAGAAATATTTACAGATTTGCAAAACCTACTGCAGCCCCTAAACCACATGGTATTTTCATTTTGAGGGTGCTAGCTTAAAATTTCAGTAGTGTCATTTGAACAGCACAGTCTTAAGACTGCTAGTTTTAAATGCTTTTTAACCAGTCAGATGACAAAAACCACAAGTTTAACCATCAGGTGGAAAGGCATTGTGCAATTTCTGCGCAAGACACTTTAAAAATAGTACTCTTCTAAATAAGCTTTCTACAGCAGATAAACTAGTTGTAATAAAAAATAATAAACTATTAAATTTAATTTTAGGCAACAATCGTTCTTTTTTGAGCAGGTCAGAAATCCATGATTCATATGATCCTGTTGGGAACTGCAAACTAGAGAGATTTTAAGAACTTTCTGAAGCTACCCAGCTGGAGGTTTAGTGAAAGGCAGCGGTGACAATACCCCAGTGAGACTGTTCTACTTGATTAAGGCAAACATATATAAGAACTGATTTTCAAATACTGGGAAGCACTGAAAGTTTTTTTATGAAACAGACTTTTTCCAGATGTACAGTGCACCACTGGAGGAAGAACAAAATCAAACCTGGTAAGACAAAAGGAATACAAAGGAATAGTGACAAGTGTGGTGAAGCAAAGCTTCAGGAAGTCAGATAGGCAAAGAAAAAGACACGACTCATTATTCTACGCAGTCCTGAAAAAGGGAAAGTCTCGGTGGAGTCAAGATATAACTAGTGATTGTGTTTGATCACAGAAGCACTATGCAAACAACCACACGCCTAGCTGCAGAAATCCCAGAATACAGTGAGAACTTCTGAACAATGGTCACTACCAGTTGAAACAAACCAAAACCTAAGTCTGTGGAGCAACCCACCCACGCGGTTTCCAGCTAGCAGTATTACCAAACTGCCACATCCTCCTCTGGCAGGCGGTACCTGACAGCCACGGGGAAAGGAGAAAAGCATGAAGTGCTGGCAGGGAGGACCCACACGCACTACCGTTTTTTGTCTTTCAAGAGGAAGCCACCTAGCCAACGCTGGTGCCAACAGCAACTCAGGGTGATGTGCCAAGCCTGACTTTTGGCCTGCAGTGCTACCTGAAGAAATCAGTGATGCAGCGTGACTGCACCACAGATGCCTGAAAATGGAGAGGGATGGAGGAGCAAGGGAGCTAAGGAATAGGGTCAGCTTTGGCCTCCCGTTCGTCAGGGCCGGGGACCCTCTCCCGGGGCTCTGCTTGGAAAGGGAAAAGGGGCCCTGCCTCACGAGGGCCCTCTCAGCCCCTCCCTGAGAGGAAACGGGCCGGGCCGGGGGCTCCTCCCCGGGTGGGGTACCCTCACCTGTAGAGATCGTAGCCCGCAGCCCGAGCTGAGCCCTTGGAGGGGGCTGAGGCGTTCTCAGACAGCTTAGTGAAGCGGAGCCGTGCGGTGGGCTCCCCGGGCACCGAGCCCTTCTGCTTCTTGCTGGGGGACGGCTGCAGGACGACCTCGGAGGCCGGCATCGCTGAGCGGCGACGGGAAGGCGAGAGAGAGCCGCGGTAAGGGAAAAGCCCGCCAAAACCGGCACGGCCCACTAACGGCGGGAAGGGGGAGGGGGGAAATCGCCC